TGACTAGGCAAGCAAGTTTGAGGCTGGCCAGATAGGCCACTTTTCGGGTTTCACCACGTTTCACCTGGCTGGGTTTGTTTGAAGAACCCCAAAATCTCATGGTTGAGAAAACAATGCTCCCCCATTTAGCAGGCTCAATTCTCAGTGTGCTGATAGTATCATTAGATATCATTGGTACCATCACTTTCCCGACTCTAAAAATGCCTTTTGGGCATCAGTACCCGAAGTAAACTAACATAGCTATTGAACATTGCCATTTATAGTTCATTTTCCCATTCAAAATGGTGATTTTCCATCGTTTTTTGTATTACCAGAGGGTATTCACATGCAAAAACCCACCGTTTTTAGTCCCGCCCAATGGCTCGCCGCGCCGTCCTCATCGGGTAGCTCCGGCAGCTGTGGGGTCAACTCCCTTGCCAGACCTACCGCCTGATACAACAGGTCCTTGCCGGTCGTCCAGTCATCCATCCCATCTTGGGACTGCCATATGGAGGTGTCCAAAACCCATGGGACTGGGGGTACACCCAGTTATCATTGGTCGGATCTTCCCTCAAACAATCCAGCTATGGGGAAAGCCCAATTTTTCATCATTTTTCCATCTTTGGGGGGATTGCTGACCGTCCCCTAATCTGGGTGTTTTTTCTCCAAACCCTTGACTATGGCTATGGGAAATCCTTTCCCCGGTCATGGTGGATTGACCAATGGGAAATTTTAAGAAATCGTCGATTCAAAAAATACAGGAAAATGAAGGAATTACTCATAATTTGAGCATGTTCTTCGAGCATCTTCAAGCATTGAAAACCGTGAATTCACCATCAAAAATAGGAACTAGAGTCTAGAGCACCTGCCAAATTCAGCAACAAACATATGGATTCTGCATAATTCAGCCATCTCTCCACCATGAAAAGATGGGAAATTCAGAAATGACGGTGAATTTTGTCTGAACATGGTGACTTACCCCCAATTTGTGGCGGCCATGGCAGTAACATGATGCCGACTGTGTTTCCGTACCCAAAAGATTGAAGAAAAACCCACCACAAAACAAACCACTTTGAAACAAAACAAAACCCCAATGGTCCAACCATGTCATGTCCCACAACGTGAAATCACCACATCCGCCGGAAGAGCCCTCGCCGGACGAGCCCTCCGGAGGCACTTCAACCCATCTCCCCATGGCCATCTAACATTCTGGATATATCGTGCACCTAAAAAACCTGATATTTATCTATATATACATGTTCTGCTATGATTCTTCGTTGCTTTTCCACCGCAAAAAATGAAGGACTGCTGTCCCTCTTCTAATCTATGGACAGTTTGCTCCCTTGAAAAACATGGTTTTCCCTCTATTTCTCCACATGTTTCCCCATGAAAATCCTCCAAAACCAACAACATCTATCCTAAATTTATGTTCATCTCAGCCAGACAGGGACTGGAAATCATGTTTTTTATGTTTTTCATGTTTTTTTCATTTTGATCATCATTTTTTTGGATTGAAAATTATCATTCCCTTTAATCCCCGTTAAGTTTTCTCATTATTTTTTTCATTCCTGTTTTTCCTCCCTTTGGCATTTTTATTTTTTTTTCCTTTGCTTCGAAAATGGTCCTTGGTCCTTGGGAATTGCCACCAGGGGCTTTTTCTGGAACCCTTTCGTTTCTTTTCATTTTGTTTCGTTTCTGTATTGTTTTGGTTATTTTTCCTTGCTTTGCCTTGAAAATTGTCATTGGAAATTATCAAAAGGAATTTTTCCTCGAACCTTTTTCGTTTTTTTTCGTGTCCTTTTTCATTTTTTTTTTTGTTTTTTTTCGTGGTTTTTTTCATTTTCGTTTTCATTTTTGTTTTTTTTTTGTTTTTTTTTGTTTCCTTTTTCAAATTTTCGTTTTTTTCGTGTTTTTTTCGTGTTTTTTTCGTTTTGGTTTTTCGTTTTGGATAATTTTTCCCTCGTTTGCCTTCAAAATTGACGGCTCGAAATGGGTCAAAAGGGAACTTTTTTCTCGAACTTTTTTTGTTTTTTTTTTTCGTTTTTTTTTTTTTGTTTTTGGTTATTTTTTAACTTGCCTTTGGCCTCAAAATTGACCTTGGAAAGTTTTGGAAATTGTCCAAAGGAGTTTTTTCTCGAATCCTTTTCGTTTTTTTTTTGTTTTTTCGTTTTTTTCGTTTTTTTTTTGGTTTTTCGTTTTGGCTATTTTTCCTCTTTTGCCTTCAAAATTGACCTTGGAAATTGTCAAAAAGAACTTTTTTTCGAACCCTTTTCGTTTTTGTTTTCGTTTTTTTTCGTTTTTTTATTCGGTTCCTTTTTCATTTTCGTGTTTTTTCCGTGTTTTTTGTTGTTTTTTTTCGTTGTTTTTTTCGTTTCCTTTTTCATGGTCGATTTCATTTTCGTTTTTTTTCGTTTTTTCGTTTCCTTTTTCATGTGTGTTTTCATTTTTGTTTCCTTTTTCATTTTTGTTTTCATTTTCGTTTTTTTTTCGTTTCCTTTTTCATGTGCGTTTTCATTTTCGTTTTTTCCGTGTCCTTTTTCTGTCGTTTTCATGTTCGTTCTTTTTTCATTTCCTTTTTCATGTGCGTTTTCATTTTCGTTTTTTTATCGTTTTGTTCATTTCATTTTTCATTTTCATATCTGTTTTCATGTTCTTTTTTGTTTTGCTTTTTTGTGTGGGCTAAGGTATGTGTGTGTGTTTTCTTTTCTCAGTTTTGCTGTCGCTTTTTTCTTACTTTTCATTTAATTTCCCATTTGATATATGTATATAATATTTTCTGTTTCTGATTTTGCTTCGATTCATTTTCGATGCTGAATGACAAGTACATGATGGCAAATGCAAAAAAGGAACAAGTATGAACATGATAATATTAACTGCACATGAGGGAAACACGATAAACAAATGAGAATGACATTTTCACATAATTGGAGAATGAAAAACATGAAAATGAAAATTTCACATGATCGGAGAATGATATGAAACGGGAAAAAAAACATTAAAAACAAAACGAAAAAAATGAACAAATAATTCCTTGGTCCGGACTCAGTCTGTGGCTGTAAGATTCTCATAATCCTAAATTCCTAAACACATCCTAAAACCTTCAAAACGTCACTTGTCAAAAAAAACATAACCCTTATCTTAACCCTTATCTTTACAATATTATATAGTTATTATAGATTCCAAATATGTTTTATAGATAAATAAAACATAACTATCTTTACAACTCACCAGAACCACATTTTCCCCATGGCCCTTTCCATCCTTCCCCTGCCCCATGGCCCGGCTCCTTGGGTGGGCTGGGCACCGCAGAGGCCGCCCACACCGCCTCGGCCAGCTTCGCGGCCGGCAGCTGTTGGCGATGCTCCAGCAGCAGAGGCCACGCAAAAACGGCCCCCTAAAAGCATGGCGCCCAGCCATAGCCCATAGGATCCATGTATATTATATATATGGTACCTGGTAACATGGATCCCATCAATATACCCCAGTCATGTTAGCATATATACCAGCACCATGGATCCGTCATGGGTAGTGGATTTCATGGGCTGATTCTATAAGAAAATCATGGAAAATGAGATGATCTATAAGACTTCATAATGGAATGTCATGGATAAGTCCACCCGCAATGAAAATCAGAGTAATGATCTATAAGACTAGATAGTAACCATCAATGGGATTTAGTTCTTGAAAATTCTCATGGGACAAGTCGTGGGGATTTCTTGTGGGGCAAGTACGGGAATACAACCAGAAAGTAGGTCCATTTGACCATCTTTGAATGGGATTTCTTTTTGGAATATGATGGGAACATAGTATGGGAAGATAATCTCTGGGATACCCTCTGGTAAACGTTCACATAACTATGGAAAATCACAATTTTTAATGGGAAAATCCACTATGAATGGCCATTTTCAATAGCTATTTTGACATAACCAGAGGGTACATTGGAACATCATATGGACATTTTCTGTCAATAATTGGGCTATACCCTCCGGTAATCACCGTGAAAACTTGGCTCCATGGCTGGAACAGCGAGGAAATCCCCTATAAATGGAGGTTTTAACGGCAAAATGATGGGAATGATGATAAGTATTTTATGGTATTTTCGCCATGATGGGGAAATCATGGAACATAAATGGGGATGTATGGGATAATAATTAGATATTTCCTTAGGATACAAGAAACCCTCCGGTGTCATCAGCTCCATCGCTGGAAAATCCCCGTGGCCTAGCCATGAAGGTTTATAGCTGGGAAAATCACAAAGGATTTTCCAGCAAACCGCTGATGATGCTGATGACCAGAGCCCTGAAAACAAGCCTCTTTAGTAGTCCTCTGGTAATGACTAACACTTTGCGAACTGGAAAATCGCCATTTTAATCCATTTTAGTATATCTATTCAATCATAAAAATGCATATGTTGCATCATAAAATCAGATCAAAAATACATAAGACATATCTAATAGATATAGTATCACCTCCCCAGTAATTATGTTAAGGTAATCATCTATAGTAATTTAGTATCATCTATGCCATATACTATTTCATATATTTCACATATAGTTATAGAAAAAACATAAATCACTATATACTAATAGTGATACTATATATCTATAGATTTATAATAATTACAAGATATACTATTAGTATTACCTATAGATATACCATACGACATTATAGTGAAATAATATTTATCTGTATTATTACCTATATAATCATCTATTATTATTTCTATATACCTAATAGTAATAGATTATATTGAATGGTATTATTATAAATCTATAGATTGTGATACTATATATCTATATTCCTATAGATGTTGAATCACTAATAGTAATTACCATTCTATGATTCAACAGAAATAGGTATCACCCTCCCCAGCTGCCCAGCTGCACCTGACGACATCGCAGCTCCGCAAAGATCGTCAGCGCCAGATGCGCCGTCTCCGGGCTCAGCTTCGGCAGCGAATCCTGGCGTCTCCAGGGGTCCAGTCCTCCAAAAGTTGTGGCTGTTATAAGCACTATAGTAATATGCATATATATATATATATACATATATATATATATAGACACACACATATATATATATGTATTATACAACACTTTTATTGGAAATAATATAAATGAAAAGAATATCATATATTGGTGATAAATAATGGAATAAGTCCCCCAATCATCAATCTAATGAGCAGTATTCAATGGATTGGTTTAAGGAAGCAATTCCAGGAAACCCCGGAACCCCCAAATATTGGAAGAAATGTTGGTGAAGATTTTCCCTGGAAAACCAATCCATTGAATTATCTAGCAATAGATGGGGAGATCACGGGAAGTTTCCCGGCAATTTTCCGGATGATGATCCCCTAAAAAGCGTAGGGATTGCTATTGCAGATGAATGTGCAAAAAAACTGACCATTCGACATAGCTTAGTTGTAGCTAGACACAACATCATGTGCTTGGGATTCAGAATTCACAGTAGTGAGTACCCTCTGGTTATGTCAAAATAGCTATTGAAAATGACCATTAATAGTGGATTTTCCCATTAAACATGGTGATTTTCCATAGTTTTTTGTATGTTTACCAGAGGGTCCCAATCAAAAAGACAGAGACCCAGGCCGCTTCCATAGCTCCACCTCCACTTTCTTCAAAAAGCTGCGCAAGTCGCCGCCTGAGATCGGCATCTTTCGGAGCTCCTAGCGCTGGAACCAGCGAGCCCAGAGGGGCCCCCAATTGGGGAAAGGCGAAAGGTCAAATAGCTGAACCATGTACGGAGATTTTGTGTTTATGTATATAGATATATGTTTATTGTTTTTTGTAGAAAAATACATATATATATATGCATAATATATATATATATATATATACATATGCATTATATACGATATGTATGGAGGAATTAGCCAACCAAAAAACACAAAAAACATCCTGGTCTTCCAGCTTCAATTCTAGTACCACTCATATGACTCATACATATGTTACTGTAAGTCTCTTAAAGCCAACAAGCTGGAAGAGCCAGATAGATCTGTAAATGGAGTCCTATTGAAAAATGGTCTCCATTTTTTGCCACATCTGGAACACCAACCACTATCCAGAACACCAACCATGCCTTCAAGCGGCTCAGGAAGCATTGCAAATCCTAAGGTCAAGCTGGCAGGGAAGCAGTTTGCCAACTTTCTCGAGCACATGCTGTGACGTGCTAGGATGCTCCTCCAAAATTCTGCTTCACTTGGATTTACCAGCACATGGCTGCTTCCTGAAATAGGGCCACCCCATGCCATCATCCAGAAGTACACCGTTTTGGTATTGAACCAAGGTAACACGCATCTGGATGTCAAAAACGTGGTAACTATGAACTACCATGATGGTTTTAGCAATGTTCGCATAGATGACATCATCCATGTCGAAAATGCAAAGTGCAAAAAACTTCTTTTCAACCGCAGGTGTCTCTCGTTGAGCGTCTTTCTGTGTCTGTACACAAGTTGGTATAGACGGTATAGACATAGTCCCACAAGCGAGGGTTGATGACTTTGCCATGACGATTCTTCAAGCAATGCGGAATGATTTGTTTCATCCCCATCCAGGTTCGGTCCACTTTGACTTTTGTGGATCACTGCGCGCGCGGAATCGCTTACAGCGATAGGATTGTTCCGCTGTTTTTTTACAGCATTCGCATCCATCAGTGTAGCATCAACTACGTGTGCAAGTGCAAGAGAGTGTGTAAGTGCAAGAGAAAATCTTATAGCGTAGCAGCATCAACTACGTGTGCAAGTGCAAGAGAAAACCTTACGAACACAAGTCCCACCATTCTTTACCCCATCCCACCCCAACCCATCATTGGCGTAGCACAGAGTGTACGTGACACCTAAAACCACAATGGTTTTAGGGCACCCCTAAGTATTCAAACCATTTTTCAACTATCTATATAGATAGAACAAAATGTCCAAGCATTTGGCTTGTCTGAAAATGGGGGATCCAAAAAAATAACGATTTTGATGAGAAGATCACAATAGGTAGTTGGACCACGGTGCATAATTCGTGGTAAAATACGCATTTTTTGACCATTGGAGGGGTTTCGCTGGGGTGGGGTGGGGTGGTGGGGTGTATTAACGTTCTGACGACCACGTCTTTGATACTACGTCGACAAGACATGTCGAGGTAACTTGGAAGACGTTCTTGGTGCTACGTTGATGACGTGGGGTGGGGTGCGGTGGGGGGTGTATTAACGTCCTGACGACCACGTCCTTGATACTACGTCGACAAGACATGTCGAGGTAACTTGGAAGACGTTCTTGATGCTACGTTGATGACGTGGGGTTGGGTGGGGTGGGTTTGGGTGGGGTGGGGGTGGGGTGGGGTGGGGTGGGGTGGGGTGGGGTGGGGTGGGGTGGGGTGGGGTGGGGTGGTGGGGTGTATTAACGTCCTGAAAGATCCACACACAAAGTCCCTGTGTCCCTTTTTCGAACACCAAGTCTACGCATGGGCTTGGCGTGAGAACTTGGGCCAGTTGTCCGCAAAGATCTTTTTGCGGCAGCTCACCAAATTTTGGTGAACAGCACAGTAGTTTACCCGCATTTTGCAGAAGAGAAAAAAAGAGTTTTTGCCAGGAGTCACCGCAAACGAAGCAAAATCCCAATGGAATTTCAATGATTTCAGCATCGCATGGAATTCATCAAATGGCCATTTTCCCTCACGGCGAAATATGAGCCGTGAACCTAGGTAGTTCATCTATTTCTTTGGACCATGGCTTCCCTAGCTATATTACTGTAAATTAACCCTCAAATTTGGTTGTCCTCTATTTCTCAACGAACCTATTTCGGTGTCCCCTTAGATTAACCAGCGAATTTGATGGGTTTCCGCTAGATTGACAGGTACCACAGCCATTTCCCAGACGGGCCACTGCTTCACTGAAGGGCAACTGGGTTGCAGCGCCCACACGCAACACCTGTGCACCATCGGCGCAGCGCAAGATTTCAGCAGCCAGTAAGGAGGGCCGATGGCCTCTGCTGCCTCCGGGGGAAACGGCGGGTAACCAGCCGGAAATGGTGATTTCAGCAGCAGAAAACATTGATTTGTCTACTAAGACAGTAGGGTTTTACTGTTTAACAAACCAAATATGATATTGTGGGGTTTGCATGACGAATGAAGCCAAGAATTGAGGTGGATTTGAAGCAAGTTCTATAGGAAACCATGATCCTACAGTACCAGCTATTTATCATTATGCTTGGGGGGCTGGTGATGAATGGTAAGCTTTCTGGACGGGGTCCCATCTTTGACGGTCCCCAAAATTATGCTACAGCAGGGTACATCTACAACATTGGATAAATTCAATCATGTTGGGTTCGAAGTTCCAACTATCTGATGCGGTGACAAATACCGTTGTCGTTGCTAGTTTGAAGCCCCGGTACGAGTAGTAAGTAATGCCTATTGGGGAGAAAGCCATCAAGGCACAGAGAAACACGGGAAAAATTGAAAACAACCAACAACATTGGAGATACAGTGGATGGAAGAAATCCTGCACCAGTTTATAGGTGGTTTATCCCTATATTTACACTATATATCCGCTGACCCCTGCCTAGCCTTGGCCTAGGCGGGGCGGCGCCCGGGATCACCGTAGGTGTGCGGCATGACCCCTTTCCAGGCTCCTCTATACGGCACCACTCCGTGCCTGCTTTGCCATGGTACCGCCCTAGCAGCAGCTTTCGATGGCCCCGCGCCTGCTTTGCCATGGTACCTCCGTAGGCCCCACAAGCTGGCCCTAGGCCTCACAAGCTGGGTACCTCTACCTCCCTAGGCCCTACAAGCTCTTTCTATTGGGCTTCGAAACTGCTACGTGGCACATTTTGGGCACGCTTTAAAACTTTAAAACCCCTCAAAACCTCCAAACCCTCTGCAGCAGCTTTCGACGGCTCCGCGCCCAGCATTGACTTGACCTTGCAAAGACTTCTGCCGTTCCATGCCATGAGAACTGTACACAAAAAGAACCTTACTCAGCTTCACAGGTGAAATCAGCAATTTTGCAACCCCGGTGTAGCTGCATGTGCAAGATGCCCATCAAAATGCTCTACCGCTTATGAGTATCACACCCACCATCTCAAATAAGCACCCATTGGACTCAAATAATACTGAATGTGTGCGCAGGATACCCGCTATGCTGTGAAGCTTGGGCTAACTGTCTTGGTGCGGGAAAGCACCGTATCGGTCGCTGCCGCAAGACTTTCCAGGGAAGGGATTGCAGAACCATTGCTGGTGGTTGTCGGGGTCATTTGGCATGCCGTGCATGGTAAATTAACTTACAAGCCTTAGATGGTAAATCACTGATGTAAATCAAATATGCCAGCATTTTATAGATAACTTAATCCGTATGAATCACTGAAGGCGTGTGAAGGTACACTGCGACATGATGATCACCCAAGCTGGCTGGTACATGATATTACATGATGCTTGAAAACCGGAACTTACCCATCTGAGACTATTTTCCCCGGTCATGGATGATGGAAATTGTTTTGGCACCCAACTTTGGTTCTGTCCCATTGGTGGCAACGGACTCTAAAAGCTAAGCCAGGATGGCCCATCATTTCAAGCATGGTGGCATCGTTGTGTTTGTGGTGGTTAGGACCCATTGGTTCGATTTCATTGCAATCCTGGGTTGGCTCCACATTGCTGATTACCCATTGAAGTCTGGTCAACTACACACGCACCGCTCAGGGCCATCATGGAGACCAGCTTTGAAAACAGTGAGCGTCGACCAACGGTACTGGTCAGCAGCGGAGCCGATGCCGACAGGGCTCCTTGGGTTGGATCGGGGGTTGTCTTAAAGCATGGGTGTGTTCCTTCACACCTGGATCCAAACAAATAGTATCGACCGGCTTGTAACAGCTGGCTGGCGCGAGGTACTCTTCCTCACCACACTTGCCATGGATCATTCCTGCTCAAAAATCGTAGCAACACGGACTCCCAAGCAACAACCTGTTCCCAAAATCCAGGTGCCAGGAAACCACGCAAACCATTACGCAATGCCAAAGGAGAGGAGGCAAGAGGCAACAAAATGGAGGACAAAATGGAAAAGCAAAGAATCTCTCAGTCTGCAAGGCCAGAAGATAACAGAACGATCAAGCCTGGACACATCAAGCTTCAACCTTAGCTTCGGAAGATGAAGACAGCAGCCAAACGGCAAAACAGAAACCATCAGAAATAATAGGGCCGGATAACCCCACATGTGAAGTTTCCTATGGGGTGTAAGGGGGGGAAGGAAGTGAGTGAGTGAGTGAGTGAGTGAGTGAGTGAGTGAGTGAGTGAGAGGGTGGGTGGGTGGGTGGTGGGTGGGTGGGTGAGGGAGTGAGTCAGTGAGTGAGTGAGTGTGAGAGTGAGAGTGAGAGTGAGAGTGAGAGTGAGAGTGAGAGTGAGAGAGAGAGAGAGACATGTGAGAGAAAGAGAGGTGTGAGAGAGAGAGAGAGGTTTGAGAGAGAGAGAGAGAGGTTTGGTAAAGTAAAAACATGAAAAAGAGAGGCAGTGAGAGATGCGCGAGAGAGTGGTGAGAGACAGAGAGAGAGAGAGAGAGAGAGAGAGACAGAGAAAGAGGAGAGAGGAAAAAAGGGAAAGAGAGAGAGAGAGGAGATGAGATAGAGCAAGAGAAACGGAGAGATGAAGAGAGAAACAGAGAGAGAGAGAGAGACAGACAGAGAGAGAGAGAGAGAGATGGAGGAGAGAGAGAGAGAGTGAGTGAGAGAGAGAGAGAGAGTGAGAGAGAGAGAGAGAGATTGAGACAGTGAGGTGAGACAGTGACTGCATGAGGGAATGAGTGAGAGAGGGTGAGAGAGAGAGAGAGAGAGTGCGTGTGTGACGGAGGAGCGACAGAGGAGAAGGAGAAGAACGGCGGGAGATGGAGACATAAAAACAAAAAACACACGGTGATGTGGGGAAATAGGGCGGGCTAAAGGAGACGAAGGAAACAAACAAAACATTCCCTTGACTGTTACACCTCAGGTCCATTCAGGTCTGTCAAGCACATGTCCCGGCAAGGGGCAGGCGCTCTGCAATTGGCTTTGCCGGGCAAAGAAGACAGTGCGCGATGGACAAGAAGCAAAAAAGGAAATGCAAAAGTTGCCACACCAGAACACTCTACTAGCGCCGTGCCTTGCAGTATTGTCTGGTGGTTTTGCTGAAGTGAGGCCGGCGTCAACATGGGGGCATGCCATGTAATTGGCATCGCTGTTTTCGCCATTTTGTGTCATGATTTCACGCTGCCTCCAAAATAGTCTACAGAGTTGACTGGCATGGTTCAAACCGCGCCCGGCCGCCAAAGTCACAGAACAGAAATCAAAGGTAGGAATCACAGGCACCAAGCCCTTTGAGCCCCCGGCCATTCTCAGGACGGATACGGATCTTGCCGTCAGTGGTGAGTGTTCCGTACACGGTCGCCGTCTTCTGCCTTGGGCCGCGAGCCCTCAACCAAAATCAGCATGATTATCCAGAAACAGCACCAGAAACCCAAAAGCTTTTGGAAACAGAGCAGCCCATCAGCAGGTTGATTGGGTGCCAAAAAATTTAATCAACTTGAGGCGCGGTTGGTCTATGTGCCCTATTTGGCCGTTGTACGTCTGCTCATCTCCGCATCTGCCTGCATATTGATGCAGTCCCGTTTATACTATGCTGCGGTATTTGTAACATCTGTTTTTGCCCTTCTGTCTGTCGCCTGTATGTCTTCTGTCTGTCTTCTTCCCTGCCTCTATGCCTGTATGTGTCTACCTATCTGCGGGTCTACTGGTCAGTGTTTCTTCCGTGTCTTCTCATCTGTCTGCTCTGTTTTGCTCGTCTCTCTCCCTGTGTCTCCAGCTGTGCGTCTGCCTGCCTCTCTGTCTATCCGTACTGGCAGTTTTCACTGCAGGCTTTTGCGCAAGATAGTTTTGCAAGATCGTCCTAGCAAGCATCGGGCAGGTGTGTCGCTACAGTGACGCCCAAGAGGGCGGTGGTAGAGAAGAGTGTATTTCCTGACAATGGCTGGCAAATCTGGCAAGAATATTGTAAGAGTGTTGTAATTAAGAGTGTTCTGCGGGTGTGTTTCGGGTGTTTTCGAAAAGTGTCTTGCAGAGATGCTGGGCTGAAGTGCCTGAAACCCTGTCACAGAAGAGTTTCGTAAAAGAGTCGCCAAAAAAGCCGAACCCAAATGCTCACACCTATGGGAAGGACCGAGATGGTGAAGCAATCTTGGGAGACACTCTTCTGAAGACAATGTCGCAGGGCCACTTCTGGAGAGAAAAGTCTTGAGAGACAAGTCTTGCGAGACATTTCTTGAGAGACACCCGATGCCAGACAAGTGTAGAGAGGCAAATGCAAAGAGACAAGTCTGAAGAGACACCCTTACATAGACATTCTTGGAGAGACAATCCTTGAGAGAGACACTCTTGGTGAGACAAGACTTGAGAAATGCTACTGCAGAGGCAAGTCTTGAACGCAAAGTCTTTAAAGTCAAGACTTGAGAGACAAGTCTTGACACACACACGCACACACACACACAACCCCTGAGAGACAAGTCTTTAGAGACAAGACTTGAGAGACACATCTTGAGAGACATTTCTTGAGAGACGCCCCACGCGAGACAAGTGTAGAGACAGGTCTGGGGTGGCAAGTCTCAGAGAGACAAATCTTGACAAACAGGTCTTGGGAGACTCCTGGACAGACATTCCCTCAGGGACAAGACGTGAAAGACAATCCTGGAGAAACACTTCTTCAGAGACAAGTCTGGAGAGACAAGTCTGAAGCGACATTCCTGGAAAGACACTTCTTGAGCGACAAGTCTTGAGAGACAAAACTTAAGTGACAAGACTTGAGAAATGAGTCTTGAGAGACAAGTCTTGAGAGACAAGTCTTGCCAGACACTCCGTGAGAGACAAGTCTTCAGAGACAAGTTTGAGAGACAGGATTTCAGAGACAAGTCTTGACAGACAAGTCTTTAACGACAAGTCTTGAGAGGCAAGACTTTCAAGACAAGTCTTGCGAGACAGGCCTTGAGACACAGACAAGTCTTGAAAGACAAGGCTTGAGAGACAAGTCTTGTACGACAAGTCTTGAGAGGCAAAACGTTCAAAACAAGTCCTGCGAGACAGGTCTTGAGAGACAGACAAGTCTTCAACGACAAGTCTTGTACGACAAGGCTTGAGAGACACGTCTGGAGTGAGACTCCTGGAGAGACACCTCTTGAGAGACAAGACTTGAAAGACCAAGCTTGAATGACAAGACTTGAACGACAATTCTTGAGAGACATTTCTTGAGGGACATTTGAGAGACACCCCATGCGAGACAAGTGTAGAGAGACAAGTCTGCGGAGACAATTCTCAGAAAAACAAGTCTGGAGACACTCTTGGCAAACAGGTCTTAAAAAGAGGCTTCTTGAGAGACACTATTGGTGAGACAAGTCTTGAGAGACAAGTCTTGCCAGACACTCCGTGAGAGACAAGTCTTCAGAGACAAGTTTGAGAGACAGGACTTCAGAGACAAGTCTTGAGAGACAAGACTTGCAAGACAAGTCTTGAGAGACAGGTCTTGCGAGACAAGTCTTGCAAGACAACACTTGACAGACAAGTCTTGAGAGACCCATCTGGAGTGAGACTCCTGCAGAGACACCTCTTGAGAGACAAGACTTGAGAGACACTCCTGGAGAAACGCTTCTTGAGAGACAAGACTTGAGAGATAAAACTTGAGAAAACTGACTTGAGAGATAAGTCTTGAG